TATATATATATATATAATCCATGTGAGGTTTCCTTATATCCTTTATTCTCCTCAGTAATGTCAGACTCTTGGCTACATGTTGTGTGGTTTTGTTTTTCCAATGCTAACAGCTTCAGTCAATAACCACATAATACTGTAATAACATGCAATGATCCATGGAGAGGTCTTATTGCTGAAGAGGGAATTGTAAGTGCTTGTGCGCATGCGTGCGCAAGTGTGTGTGCCACTTCACAACATTACAAATTAGTATAACACCACCCCAGTATTTGCTCTAATAGAGGGCCGTGTAAGTACCATTTGATAATACTGTGGTGCCCCCCTTTTTCTAATCATCACTGGTTTGACAATAGTTTATGAAGCAGGCAGAGCCAACTTTCTCCTTTTTTATTCTGACCAGTTACACAAAAATCAGGCTAAACTATTACTAACTAAAATCACCAACAACAAGAACAGGAAAAGTAAAAACCCAGCGAGGTCCATAATTATCTGGACAATGACATTTTTTGTAAAATCAAACTGTACATATATGATTGAAATGCAGACTGTTTGGGTTTGACAAAAGTATTGCATGGGCTGTTTAGGAATTATAGATATTTTTATACTTTTTTGAGAAGCTCAAAAGTGGCTTAAAAATCCGATCATCCAACAAACTCTAAGAGGAGCCAAATCACGCTGGGCTTCTGGAAAATGAAGAAGGTCAGCATCATCAAAAGGCACTAAGGACCACAGAAGATAACTTTACCAAATATATCCAGGAACAGCCTCAAAGAGGTAGGTTTATCACTGTCAAAGGCAACAATGTAGACACACCGTCATAAATGGAAAGACAGACAGTTTACAACAAGGTGCAAACTGTTGGTGCAACACTCAAGACCAGATTATACTTTTGTGAAAAATACATTTAAAGCAATTTCTGAAAATAGTCTTTGGAAAGATGAAACTGATGCTAACTTGTAGCTTAATGATGGGACAAAAAAAGTATGGAGAAGGAAAGGAACGCTTCACAATCTGAAAGCGCCCCACATCATGTGTCAAACACAGTGGAGACCACGTTTTGTCATGGGCATGTATGTCTGCCAGAGCTATACTCTGCTCAGATTCAGCCAAATGTCCTGATTGGACAGCTTGGATCAGAAGTAATTATATGTGCTGTACTGGCAGTTCACCAAAATACCAACAATGTGTAGCCCAGTGGGGATGGTGCTCCGTGGGTAGGTAAAATGCTCATTCGTTGAAAAGCTATTGGCAGAAAAGGAAAAAGAAAAAACGTGACTTCCATCTTTCCAGATAACACAGGCTCTAAGCGAGCACATTTAAGCATCTTTAAAGTCTAAGCTAACCAGCAACAAGAGTAGCTCATTTATGGTGGTTGCACATATTTTAACACTGTCCCCTGGTGTCACACATGGTACACTCCTACAGCTCTACACAGGACCAATGAATAACCAGCACCCAACCATCTTTACTGAACATCTCTGGTTACACTAATATAGAGGTTAATAGAACTGATTCTTATGATTGTGTGTGTCACAAAAAACGTCAACTCGAACCTATGCGAGTGGAAGGACCATTCATCTCTTCGTCACTTCACTGTATCCTTCAGTTTTAGACTCTAACAAAGCAGGAAAACCATGGAAATACCGAAATTAAACAGGGCAAAGAATCAAGCCTTATTTACAAAAGATTAACGCAAAAAAGGACAGAATTGCATTCAAATAATCTGAACAGATGTAATTTCTGTGTGCGCACACTCACACACTGGCACGCAAACACTACACACCGTGAAGTTAGCTGTGAATAAATTAGCCCATCTCTTCTCCATCTCGGGCTCATGAATAAAAGATCTGGTGGCTGAAGAGGAACAGAAAACACATTTACAGAGAGGCAAAATGGAAAACAGAGGAGAAGGAGAGGATGAATACCTATGTGCGTATGAATGTGTGTGTGTGTGTATGAATAGATCATCCCAAATAGCTGCTAACGGCATAACACTCTTTAACAGGATTAGAAGAGGGATTAGCTAATAGCTGACAGAGAGAATGAATACTGGAGAGAGGGAGAGAGAAAAGACAGAGGCAGAGTGATGGACAAACGGGAGATACGCAGGTACAGAGAGAAAACAGAGACTGGTGGTGGACAAAAAAAAAGTAAAAATGAAGGCGAGTGGAGCCTGGAATTACTAAAGTTCTACAAATTGTATACATGATGATCATAAAGTGATGATACTGATCTATAGGCTGCAGTTCAGCACATTCACACAGATGAAGTGCAGCAAGGTCGCGCTGGCGCTGGTTAAGCCAGTATGAAGTAAAGCCAGCATTGAAAAAATGAAATGTTTGTGTGTTAAATAAATCAGAAGAAAAAAGTAGCAAACTGTGGGAAAGCCATTTTCAACTTCAGCAGAGAGACGCAGACTTAAGACACACATGCTTAACATAACATCAGGGAAAATAGAAACAGGAGATGGGACACGGGCATAACTAAGAAACAAATACAGAGGACATGACGGGCTGGGGAGAACACACATGACAGATGGGGAAGACATGGAATGAGACACAAGGGGAATTTAATAAACAATGAGCTATAACAGGGGAACCTAGGCAATATAGAATAACCTCAAGGCTAACTCAATGAACTTAAGCCAAAATAATACAAAATAATATTAAAATACAAGAAAACTCAAATGACCCTGGACCATGAGAAATATTTATAGAAAAACAATATTTATAAGAACTTTAATACTTAAAAATTGAATTTTAAGAGTTTTTCTATGCTCGAGCATGAAGATGAAGGTTGGTCACTAGCAGACCTTACAGGCTGAATTTGCTTAGGTAGCCTAACCTGATTTGTTAATCAACAGTATCCTTTGCTCGCATTGGTCATCTCTTTAGCTTGAAATTGAGAAAAGTTTAACTCACAAGCCACCCGCTCCGTCACCTATTGTCAGTTGCAGTTTCATTGACTTTCTGTGGTCTCTGATTGATGCTTGTCGCTTACAGTGTGAATGCCCGTTTAGGAGTGAAAGAACGTCTCATTCATATCTATGTCAGCTACCATGCAGTGAATGTGCTGTGCCTCAGCCACTCACTGAACAGAGTGCCAACAATGACACTGTTCTGGAGAGGGCCACAGGCAGAAGCTGCATATTTAGCTTAAAGCTACAGATAAAAAAAGAAAGAAAGAAAAGCTACAGACACCAAGACATCTTGGAAAAGAGTCAAATCCAGGGATATCTGTGCAGTATTTTGCACTGAAAATTCAAAGCCATATTCTTGTGGGACCTTTAAAGTGAAGAACTATATATAGCTGATGAAATGTATGGTATCCGGTCATTAAGTGATGACGTGAGGAATCCTACTTCCGGGCCAAAAGTAGTCTGCGTTTAATATGGCTTTTGTGTTGTTAACATGTTAACATGTTTTGTATTTTCTTCTATTTGATCTCAAAAAGCTCCTAAAACAGTCAGTGATCACTGCTGACCTCCCTCGGCTTTTATTACCGCTAATCATTTATTTAAGCTGTTTTTAAAACCTTAGGATGTAACTACAGGCCAGCCCATGCAGCAGTATATGAATGACTAACCTCGTATTGTGGATGGATTATCTCAGTTGTTCTCCTGGCTGACGTTTGGTCCTTTTACAGCATCCTGCCATGCGATTACATTTGTTCCTGACCACCGAGAACACTCACATTAACTTTTATCGAGTGGAAAAAAAGTTGCTTGTTTATATTATGCTAACATAGCTGTGTCGCTAGCGGTCACGTAGCACATCATTATATAGCAGCTAGCCCAACTTCAGTAACCCTACAAACGTCACTGCTGTTTAGTTTTCTGTCTTCATTTATGTTGGAAGTGATAACAGAGCTGTACGTTTTAATTTGTTTCCAAAACCCCGCAGTCAGGACATGCTATATTGTATTTAGATAGAAGCTAGCAAGCTAACTTCCTGCTAACTTCTAACTCCGTTAAATGTCATAAATTCCGTTTTCATGGATGCCTGGATGTTAAACTCAATTGTTACACCTGGTAGAGCAGAACGCTGATCATTTTATTAAAGATGAAAGACTTTAGACAGTTTTTCAACTCTCAGTAATGCCATAGTGATCGTTTGATATATGGACCTGCAGCGGAGTTTAGGCCCAGACACGGCTAGTGACGTCAGACTGAACCACCGGATTACTGTTCTGACTTACAGTCTTCTTCTACAGTTTAAATCTACCAAATCTAAAACAAAAACATTTCAGATTAAACAGGCTTCCTTTTAACAGGCCGCAAAATTAAAAGTACCTGCAAAAATACAAGCAGGAAGCAGAGCAAGCAAATGCACTGATTAAATTAATCAAATCACGACACTTTTAACTACTTATTGCAGACAGCAAGGCGGTGTCTAAAATTTCCGCCTTCCTTCCCACAGACCAGCCCGCACTGATCTTTGTACTCTCCCCACACATGAATCTTGACCTCACCTCAGCACCATTAATTAGCTGGAAACAATTAGTTGGAGTGTGAAGACAGTTAAGATTGGATTCATTATCAGAACAACCTCTCATTTGCTTTGCACTGGCCCCGAACCGCGAGCGGCGTCTTAGTGAGAAGACCTTGTGTCCTCTGAGTTCAGACGCAGCAGCGCTTAAACACGTTCTGTCAGGATTCAAAGCCAGTCTGTCCCAAGGTCGATACACTTGGCAGCATAACCAAGTGTTGAAGTGCTTGGTGGTAGCAAATGAGAGTTAACAAACCAAAATCAATTTTATACACAGGGGCATTCGAGTGGCCGTGGACTTCATGCGTGGCTGCTTCACTTTCTGCTAAAAAAAACCCCAAAAATCTCTGAAGCGCCTCAGAAGATCAAGACCTTAAACACAAGGGCATTAAACTTCATTCCACTGGAGAAGAGCGTGGTTATACTAAAAATGAATGGTACAAAACATCTTTGGATTGCTGATTAGCCGTATCAATTCCTTTCAACTGATTGTTTCATATGACGCTAAATCACAGAGCAGTGCTGCTGCTGTAGAGGGGAGTCGCCCGTCCTCATGATTAAGATGTCGTAAATTCACTCCATGCCCAAATGAATTTCTGGTGTCCAGTACATCCACTTCTCCTTCCATGGAGATCAATCAAAAACTTAACAGCGACGTATTAAAACTGTCTCCGGAACAGCAATGAGGGAGCACTCGGCGCGAAGTCTCAGCTCAGCCACAGCTCAGCCACAGCCAGTGTTAATGTTTTCTCACATTTTTTTCACACTTTAGAATAAGTGACAGGCAGAGCTGGAGCTCACACGTGCCTAGCTACTGCAGGAGCCATGCTAATGTCTCATTTAGCAACACCTGTACAGAGAACGCTACAAAATCACGCAAAACACAACGGGAATAGGAAGAATGAAAACAGAAATAGGAAAAAACAGATTTCCAAAAGCACAAGTGTTTCTGGGGAGACAATAACGCGACGGACCAGTTGCAGGAACCAATATGCTAAGAATTACGCTGGGAGACACGTGGAATAAGTGGAGGATCTATGAGTTTTGTGAGGAAAGAGAGGTAAGTGTGTTAGCCTAATTATTAGCCTAAATCTGTCATCAGTATTATATGAATCATGAGATTAAAACACACTTACCTGGCAGGTTTTGGTTCCTGCAACTGGTCCGTCGGGTTATTGTCTCCCCAGAAACACTTGTGCTTTTGCAAATCTGTTTTTTCCTATTTCTGTTTTCCCTATTTCCGTTGTGCTTTGTGTGCTTTTCCAGCGTTTTTCTTATTCCTGGTGTTTTCTTAAGTTGCAGTCTGTTTGGCCTCTCAGGGCCACCGTATCTTTCCTTCCTGCTGCTGTCAGACTTCACAACAACGACTTTGCAGCTGACCAAACACACACAAGTGCACTTATCGTTTTCTGACAACATTGCATTTTATTATGTTGTATATAGTATTTTATTCTATTCCTTTGTTTACAGTATCTGATACTTATTATTTTATTCTATTCCAGGGTTTTTTCTTAATTTTTGCTACTGTAACGTTGCACTCTCCACTTTCTGCTGTAACAAAACAAATTTCACATGTGTGGGACTAATAAAGGTTATCTTATCTTTAAATACACTTCCTATGGAAAAGTGTTACTTGCATAAAACCCCCTGAAATTTCTCTCATTTAACATGAAAAACTGTGTTTAACAACAGAAATGACCTTAAATACAGACACTGTTTTCTGTGTTTCTCTGTGACCAGACTTCCCAACACCCTGTCACCCAACAACACAGAGAAAAATTCAACAGTCAACCAAGCTGTTGAGCTTTGTGTGTGATTCTAAAATGGTTAAAATAACATCCCAAAAAGCATAAATGAGTAATTATCTACTTGTTAACCATCAGTTAACCTTACTTTATAGGGTTCTCCAAACAAGTTGAATCCAGTAGAGAACAAGTCCTCATCCTGTTGGACCTCCTGGTTCCTCCTCTCCCACTCTCTCCTCTTCAGAGCGCTGCGCTCTGACTCCAGATGACTGGAAAGGCACAAAGAGAAAAGCTAGTTAGCATCCCCCCTCTGAGGCGACACATGGCCTGCCACAGTGGTTTTTAATGAGTATTGCTTACAAGTAGTATTTGGAGCTGCAAAGAGCATTGGCTGAAATTCTTTGTTTTGAACAGACTAGCGGGGAAGCTGGTAAAGGAAAATAGCAGGCTCAGTCATGTGATTATATCGTGTGAAAATGACTCAAGTTCCAGATAAACGAGGAGGAAAATAAAAAACCTAAACCCTGACATGAGTCTTGAGGTAAGAGTAAAAATGTAACATTCAGAATTGTAAGAAAAAGGTTTTCAAAACAGTTTCCCACGTCGACATGGGAAACGCAGTTTATGATTTACCTAACTATGAACACGTAGCAGTTGTGGATGAAATGTTTGTACTGGCAGTTTTAAAACTGAGGAGTGTGTTCGTTGCCTCTTTGAGCAGCTCACGGGGTTTAAATTGTTATTTTTACTTAACTTCTGAATGAATTCCAGGAGTCTTTGGGTCGCTTTGCAAACTCTAAAATCTAACAAACCTGACTCACCTGCACCGTTTGGTTCAAAAGGAAAACATCTGATCAGCCAAGGTTATATATGCCAGAACTGTTGTGTGGCAGGTCTAGCACAGCAATTCTTTCTCTTCTTTTAAGTCCATATTTATATATCTACATATTTACTGCAAAACTTTGAAATCTGAAAGAACTACACTACAAACTCCAGTAGTGTGGGGCTAGGAGGGAATCCTACAACCTGCTTGCCTACCTACACTTACATTATATATATTCTAAACAAGCGTGACTATATAGGAAAGTTTGACTAACGTAACATTAACTGGATGGCACTGGAGGGGCAGTCAGAGATGGTTCAGGGAAAATCAGACAAATCTATTAGAAAAATAAATCATATCTAAAAGTGGTTTAAAATTCATTAGGATTCATGGCTGCTTTGTGACAACGTGAAGCAAATGATTATCATGTTTTTGTCTAAGTTTCCAAAGTAAAGCAGTGAGGGAAGATGGTGCGCGCAGTTTGTTGCTTTGCTTATATGTTCATACTGCATGTCAGTGATAATTACGATGATGCTTTGAGGAGGACAGGCCTGTTTTTCCAATTAAAAAAGACGATTCAGCCACTCCATCCACCCACCCTTAGCCAAACCCCTGCTGGACATGTTACTCTACATGAATGCTCACTAAGAAATTATGTCACCCTAAAACTACGCGTTGTTTTTTTAAATAGATAAAATAAAGACATAATTAGGTGCTGGAAGATACATTTGCCAACTTTGGACAGAGCTAAATGTTCCCCCGACTGTCCATCTGATGCTATGCTAATCCAATTACCTCCGGCCGCCTCCAGCTTAATACTTTCAAAGAAATCAAACAGTATTTCCAAAAACATTTAACTCCTCCTTTGTACAGCCTGTGTCATCTTTGTGAAAAGCTTTAGGGACGACTGAGTCAACAACAATAAATAATACAATTAAATGAAATTCTGAGTGACGATCATTATAAACAGGCATAAGGCGTAACACACACAAACAGACACTCACAAATAATGAAGGCATGAGCAATAAATAGTCTGCTTCCTCCTCAGTATCAACCCTTTTTTTCAGATTTCTATTTCCAGTGAGTTTAATGCTGTGATGTAACATATGCTTTTAGCTGGCTAGTTTCATTCATGAGTGCATTCATTTTTAACACAGGTGAGCCCAGTGGGGATTGTGCTCCTAATCCAGGCAGTGTTTACGACACGCTATACCCACTGAAGCACTTGAAAGGACGGATACATTTATTTCCTGCTACGGCATCTTTGGATGGCTCCCAATCAAATCAGCTTTTAATCTTCAAACGTTCCCACAGAACGTACGATTGCTGGATTCGTGTGATTTAAAGTATGAAAACATTTAAAAAGGAGACAGCTGACTGTAAACAGGGACAGAAATGATTAGAATCAAAGGGGTTTGGTCTGTGGGGAGCAGAGGGGGCGGCGGTGAACCTCAGGTTTTTGGGACATTTTCGTTGCGTAACCATGTATTTTTAGAAAAAAATCTTTTACTGCACAGTTCCCAATTCACTCTGCCCTCCTGAACTTTCTTTAGTCACCAGCCCCCACTGAGGATTCTACAAGCTGGCAGCCAAACTGGAATCCCAGAGGCACAAAGTAATGTGTGAGAGTGTTTGTGAATACATGTTATGCATAAGCCCGTGGCCTGCTGACCCAGGAAAGGGCATCCTGTTTTACCACATCCACTGCAGAGAGATGAGACAGGCTGGCTAATTAGTGATCAACACAATTAAAAGAGACTTTCCTCTTTTTTTCCCACTACCAGGCCTTGCCTTCAACATTTCATCTATCAGCAAGATGTGAGTGGGAGGGAGAAAGAGCAGAGAGGCAATGAGAGGAAAGAGAGAGGGAGAAAAAAAATTGGAGACCCAGGGGAGAGAAAAAGACCCAGTTTCAGGGCAACAGACAGTTTCTTTAAAAGGAAAGAAAAATAAGAGAATGATGAAAGACAGAGCGGAGGGATGGGGAGAGGAAGGTAAGATAGGAAGAAGGGAGGAGCAAAAAGGAAGCTAGAGCAGTGGGAATTTCAGATGAAATGATTGACAGGTTAGGTAGGGGTGTGTGTGAGTGGATTGGGGGGATGCAGCGACAGAAATGTACGTAGATGTGATCATTGTGTGAGCTAGCACTGCTGGTTGACATGTACGTTGTCTGTCAGCGCAGAGAGATAACTGACAGAGCTGTCACGACCACAAACACACACGTATGGAGCACGCACACAGAAGCACACAGCCCCCACGTGACAGATCGCTGTCTCCGTCTGTCACACACCAGACATTCACACGAAGGGAATCGGGTCAGACGAGGTAATTAACACATCCAGGATTTATTTCCCAGCATGTGGCAGGGCTACAGAGCTACCTGTCACATACGGGTTGGCCGAGGCTTTTATGGCTCACACCTTCCTTCCTTCTTACAGGCCGGTTGCACGAGAGGTCACAATCCCCCATCTTTCCTTCAAGTACAGCTCAAATGCAATTTTTCCAAGTATGTTTTCTGTCATATTGAGAAGTTCTGATCAAGGTGATACATGTTCGACTGTTATTTTTCTAACAAATTTGTTTTTCATGAGTCATTTGTAGCTAGCATGTGTCACCTCTAAAGTAGGCCTGTTGCCAAGGCACCTGTGGATGTTTTGGGGAATTAGATGCAAAAGCTTTGAATCACTGTTTGCTAAATAGAAAATGTTCTCAAGTAAACTGTGCTAGACAATATTCACATCAACAGGGGAGACCTTTGTTTTTTTCTCGAGTGAGTCTGTGCATTCAAGTGTTTCGTTATTTAGCAAGTTAATGTTATAACTAGCAAGCTGAGAGGCATCGATCTGAGTTACAAAGTATAGAGAAGAATAAAAATGACGTGTGCTCTGTGGTCTTAAAAACTTCAGACATGTAAAATCTGTGCAAATATTTAATTCCAAATATTGTAGCCATTCACACCAGCCACATAATTTTGCTCGTGTGAATTTGCAGTCTCTTAAGCTCTGGACCGAGACATCTCCTGATATTGACTTCACTTTTTTCACAATGCATTGAGGCTGAAATATCCACAAAAACGAGTTTCAGTGTGTATATATAATTTACACAGGAAGTTCAGATCAGAGAGAATTTGAAATTTTCTTTTGCTTTTTCACAAAACACTCAGTGTATATGGGGCTTGAGCAAGACATGGATAAGTAAGATAAAAAGGAAAGAAAAACTGCCAGAAGAATCTATAGTGACAACTAGAGCTGGGCGATAGAACGATAACGATATGTATCGCGATATAACTTTTACTCGATAGAGAAATTAAGCTATCGCGATAGACCTCGCCGCTCTTGTCCTCTTAAAAAAAAAA